GGATGGGGCAGATCCAAGCAGCAGAATGTGTCTAACCTCAGATCATCTGAACAAATCTTATTGGTGAGACCTGACAAGGAGGCTGAATCTCAAACTCAACAAATCTCGTGACTCTAGATTCATGATGAAAAATAAAAACTTTGGTAGTCATATTACCTGAAACATATGTTAAAGTGCATACAAAAGATTTTAACGAGTGTGATAACACTGAGTATGTTTTTGTTTTACAAGTACTTTGAGTGACTGGTGGGTCGGACCTCCTCACAAAAGCTTTTCTTCAAGTTCTTCAGAATGTCCGTATTTCCCTGAACTCCAGGGTTAAGTTTATCATCCAGCCAAGTAAAGGTGTCACTCTGTGCTACAAAAAAGACCAACAGCTATTTCCTAAAGAGGCTGATGTGGTCCTGTTAACGACCACGGCTAAAGCAGCCCTTTTCATGGACTTTAATCCTCCACTCTCAATCCAAAAGATGGAGGCCCTGAGGGCATTCCACTACAACAATTCAACCAAAATCACTCTCATTTTCAGCCAAAGGTTCTGGGAGAAAGATGGCATCAAGGGAGAAAGAGCATCAGAGGCAGGCCCACATGCTTCATCTATTATCTGAGCCACAGTTTCCCAGGAAACTACACCATCAGTGTAATCCTGGCCTCCTACACCTGGTTTGATGACTCCCTCCTCTTACTGGGGGCCAGCGATGAAGAACTGAAGGAGCTGCTTCTGAGAGATTTGTCAAAGGTTCATGGTATGGTCGTCAATTCGCTCTGTCCCTGTGTATTGGTGAAGAAGTGGAGTCTGGACACTTTCAGTCTGGGGGCCTTCGCCTTGTTCACCCAGTACCAACACCTGGAGTATGCCCAGGAGCTCTTCAGACCTGAGGGCAGGATTCACTTTGCTGGAGAGCACACGGCCTTCCCTCATGCCTGGATCGAGATGGCCATGAAGTCTGCCATCAGAGCAGCTGTGAACATCAACGACGAGATATACTTGTCAGATACCAAGGAAAAGATGAGCTCTAAACTTACATAGTGGGACCAACAGAAAATCATTGTGGCAGTAAGAAATATGTACTATTACATGATGTCAGTAATACTGTAAACATCGATATTGCCACAGGACGTGCACATTTTTAACAATTTGTTGAAACAACCGGTTGTTGTTCAGCTGGTGGGTAAAACAATATGGTTTCTTCCTTTAAATATTTCCAGACACTACTGGGGGCAGGGAAATATCTATCAGGGAAGAGAGGGGACACAATGATCCTCTGTGTAGTCTTTACTATTCTCTGGAGTCTCTCTGCCATACCAGACTGTGATGCAGTGTGTTAGCAGGGACTCAATGGATGAGTGGTAGAAGGTTAGCAGCAGATTGGTGTTCAGTTTGTACCTCTTAGGAGGTTCACATACCAGGCCAAAAGAGGGTGGGTGCCGACAATGAAAATGGAAAAATATTGGTGTGGAGTGGGATGGAGCCGATGAGAACCGAGCCTGTGGACAAACGCCTCTTGAGGACTCTCAGAAAGTGGAGCTGCTGCAGTGCCTTCTTGATGAGTGCTGTGGAATTGTCTGTCCAGAAGAGGTCAGCACTGTGGAACCTCTCTACACATTCACCATTCATGTGGAGAGGTGTCAGCTCAGTGATGTGCTTTCTAAAGTCAACAATGATCTCTTTGTTTTCCTTATGCTTAGCGCGAGGTTGTTCTCCATGCACCAGTCCGTCAGTTTCATGACCTCATATCTGTATGCTGTCTCATTTAAGTTCAATAACTGAACATTAGTTACAACTAGAATATATCCTGGAGAAACTATGAGGAGCTTGCCAGATGTGCATGTCTTCCTGTAATGGCTGATTTTTGTAGTTAAATTTAGTTCTGGTGGCTTTCTGAAAGATGCTTTTAGAATATCTTTAAGATTTCAGCTACAGCTGAACCAAAGTTTATCTTTATAGATTAAAAAATGACTTATTTCAAACTAATTTTGGGATTTGGTATGATAGTGCATTTGTGCAAGCATTGTTTGGCCCTCGCAGCAGAGGGCTGCTACGGCCTTGTGGCGACCGCAGGAGAGCTGGCATTACCCCGATTTTTCATTTCCAAAATGCCCAACATTCCAAAATCCTTACAAGACACGTGCCCCCTTGAGGAAGTAGAACCCTTAAGTTGAAAAATAAAATGAACAAAATCCAAGTAATAAGGGCCTAAGAGGGCCGAAACGCCGAAACCTACACAAAAGCAACAAGAAAGACCAAAAACCATGCAAAAGGTATGCAGCAGGGCCAAAGACCCCTCAAAACAGGCTGAAGCCCAAAAAATACATAACAGTTTGGTTGGAAACCACTCAAAACTGCCAAAAGCCATGTAAAACCATGTAAAAGGGTCCTTGGAGTGCAGAAAACCCATCAAAACTACCTAAAGCAATGTAAAAGTTGTGTAGCATGGCCAAAAACACCTCAAAACAGGCTAAAACCCACAAAAAGAACAACCTATAACCGATTTGTTGGAAACCCCTCAAAACAGGCTAAAACTGAAATTAGATCTTGGAATTAGATCAGCCATTTTGGAATTTTTATTTTGGCTACTATTTGTGATAGAGCTCACCCTCGGCTACTAGTGTACCAATTTTTATCTTCATGTTAACAGGTAGAAGCTCCAAGTCTTTGARCTTTTCCTGAGAAAATGTTGACATCTTGTTATGGCTGTGAGGCAGGGTGAACCCAAATGCAGGCAGGCAGGCAAGACAAGAAAGTTTAACAAAATTTATTAAATAAAAAGCCAACGTGGTGGCAAAAACAGATAAATAACAAAAATCAGGAACCAGAAAGCTAGAGCTGAACAAGAGTCTAAACATGGACATACCAACTAACAAACAATGATCAGACAAAGACACNGAGTTGCAGCGCTTGGAAAACAACTTCTCCTTCTCAGTCTTTCAATAGAAAATGTCACGGCACGCCTTGGTTTCGGTCGAACTGCAAACATTATAGAGCTGAGAGCACAAACAAGTTAATAAGATGAGATAACAATATAAGATTCGTACAAATATTCTAACAAGTATGTTTTTTTGCTTTACAAGTACTTTGAAGTGACTGGTGGGTCGGACCTCCTCACTAAAGCTTTTCTTCAAGTTCTTCAGAATGTCTGTATTTCCCTGAACTCCAGGGTTAAGTTTTTCATCCAGCCAAGTAAAGGTGTCACTCTGTGCTACAAAAAAGACCAACATCTATTCCATAAAGATGCTGACGTGGTCCTGGTAACAACCACGGGTAAAGCAGCGCTTTTCATGGACTTTAATCCTCCACTCTCAATCCAAAAGATGGAGGCCCTGAGGGCGTTCCACTACGACACCTCCACCAAAATCACACTCATTTTCAGACAAAGGTTCTGGGAGAAAGATGGCATCAGAGGGGGAAAGAGCATCAGAGAAAGGCCCACATGCTTCATCTATTATCCGAGCCACAGTTTCCCAGGAAACTACACCATCAGTGTAATCCTGGCCTCCTACACCTGGTTTGATGACTCCCTCCTCTTCCTGGGGGCCAGCGATGAAGAACTGAAGGAGCTGCATCTGAGAGACTTGTCAAAGATTCATGGTATGGTCATCAATTCGCTATGTCCCTGTGTGTTGGTGAAGAAGTGGAGTCTGGACACTTACAGTCTGGGGGCCTTCGCCTTGTTCACCCCGTACCAACACCTGGAGTACGCCCAGGAGCTCTTCAGACCTGAGGTCAGGATTCACTTTGCTGGAGAGCACACAGCGTTCCCTCATGCCTGGATCGAGATGGCCATGAAGTCTGCCATAAGAGCAGCTGTGAACATCAACAACGAGATATACTTGTCAGATACCAAGGAAAAGATGAGCTCTAAACTTACATAGTGGGACCAACAGAAAATCATGGTGGCAGTAAGAAATATGTACTATTACATGATGTCAGTTATACTGTAAACATTGATATTGCCACATGATGTGCACATTTTTTAACCATTTGTTGAAACAACTGGTTGTTGTTCAGCTGGTGGGTAAAAACAATATGGTTTCTTCCTTTAAATGTTTCCAGACACTACTGGGGGCAGGAAAATATCTATCAGGGAAGAGAGGGGACATCCAATGATCCTCTGTGCAGTCTTTACTACTCTCTGGAGTCTCTCTGCCATACCAGACTGTGATGCAGTGTGTTATCAGGGACTCAATGGATGAGTGGTAGAAGGTTAGCAGCAACTTAAGGCACTGTCGTGTTCTCATCAGCACACATTTTAGCCACAGAACGTCCCTGAAAATTTCATCAAAATCCGACATGGTTATTTATTTATTTTTCATATTTTCCAGGCAAATTAATCCTGAAACGGAGGTTAGCCTCCTCCGCCCTCCCGTCCCCCGTTTTGTTGTGAAAGAGAATAAACATCTGAGAACCGCTGGAGAAAACCTCCGAGTGGCTTGCTGCAGAGAAATGTCCGCGCGTGGCGAGCTTCATCTGCAGAATGACAATCATGGGAGCCGCAGCCCCGCTCTTACTCTGAAATGTTTCAAAATTTATTCAGATGTTTCTGTGGTGTAATAA